CTCGCCGAGTCCCAGGCCAAAAATGCAAAATTACTAAAATAAAATACATACCAGGAAGCGGGTGCTACAGTATACAAGTCTCACAACTAGTAATAGATAAAAGACAAACTAATTTTAACTGTTTAATTTCATTCAAATTGTTATAAACCTATTGTTATCATATGTAAATCCTAAGGTTATACGGCCATGCTCAAAACACTGGCGATCTGCTAATCTGGACCCATTAATGGCGATAAACACCACGTCAGCCTCTAATTTTCACCGCCGGTATGATAATGCCGATAGCTTTCCACTGGTGGTGAAATTCGAAAAATATGAACGGTTGTGACCATTGGAAGATTTGGATGTTGGCAAATGGCTCTTGGCCTTTTTTGTTTTAAACAAATTTACCACTATATATATACATATTTACCATTCATTTTAATTCACACACACAATCAAAATATCTTCCAATAATCCTAACTCTTTCAACCAAAATGCTTCCAACACATTTGCACTCTTCGGTTACGATCCGACATCACCACCACCTTACTGTCTACAAGTGGATCGATCAAGTTTATCTCAAAACCAAGTGTTTGTAGGTGGTGTTGCTAGCTATTATTCACAATTTCAAATGCCACAACAATTCCAATTCCACCACCCCGAACAACATACCAAACCCAAACGCATACCCAATTCCATTTTAAATCTCAACCGCCCTTCATATAACTAACCAAAAATCTTCCTGATTCCGAACCCAAAGAACAACTTCATAAAAAAAAGAAGGCCGATCCAAGAAGATGGAATCAAAAAGAAGAGAAAAAATTAGCAAAGACATGGGTCGACATATCCAATGAGAACAACACGAGATCCAGATTAACAGACGTCCGACCAATGTAACTAGAAATAGAATATTGTAAACAAACTTATGATGCATTGGAACAAAATTAACACAAACTTTGCAAAGCAATGGGCTAGCAGAGAAAGTGAGCCGAGTTTGTTGAAAAAAAACTCACGCGACATTCCAAGATGACATGCTAAAGCCTTTTAAGTTCATTCATGTGTGGGAAGTTGTCAAAAAAAGTATTATGTGGAAGGAACTTGTAACATATGAAGACGTTATTAATCCGCCAAAAAGAAGCAGGACATCTTCATATTCGAGCTCACAACAAATTTCATCGTATGGTCACATATGCGTTGATATTAATGATGATAACGACGACATCGAAGAAATACACTCGCCTCCTCGTCCCATGGGAAAGGACAAAGAAAAAGCTCGAGCAAAACAAAAAGAAAAAGAGACATCTTCAAATTATTCGGTCGGAACCGAACAGTCAATTAGATTGGAGGAAATGATGGCACAAATGACATAATTGAATACAACTTTAGAGAAGTATATGGATGAAACCACCCGACTCATAGAATATTCGTTGTTAATGCAAGACGTGCAACATCTCGACCCTAAAGAACAGGAGGCGGCTAAAGTGGTGAATGCGTCAATTTGAGAAAAATATAATTTAAAACGCAAATGAAATTTCAATGTCATGCTTTTTTTTTCTACGTTTTTAATGTAATTTTTGACTTCATGTATTTTTTTTTCAGGTTTTTAATGTAATTTTTAATTTCATTTTTGTAGGGTTTCTAAAATGTAATTTTTAATTTTAGAATGATTTTTATTAAAAAAAAGTTCTTATTTTTTTATTGAAATTAAAAAAAAATTTCATAGGCAAAACCATCACTACATCCTAGTTCACAGATAAAATTTGTAAAAAATATAAAAGTTGATATGACGCCTATATGACATAGTTTTACCATTGGTAAAAACATCACTATACCCTTTAGCCTAAGCGACGCCATTTTCTTTGGTAATTTAGTCATTATATGTAAAATTTTGTTTTTTACATCATGTGAAGAACGAAAACAAACAAGAAGAATATGATAATATCCACATTTTATAATAGTCATTTAGAAAGATGACAAACAACAAAAATAGTCCACATGTTTTGTATTTTTTTTTTCAACTTTTAAAATAGTAAATGTAATCCTTACTAGGAGGTTTCTATATTGTTTTCGTCTTTCTCTAAATTGAAATGACTAACTTGCAATAATAGAATTTCTTTTTTTATTTTTTATTTTATTACACGATTAAAAAAACTAAAATAAATTACAACCGTAAATCACACTCTTCCTTATACCCACCCACCTTCTCTCTTTAACTACATTCACTTTGTCAGAGAAGAAGAAAAAACCGTCGAAGCCTATTCCAGCTAACGAAACTAGACACCATCATCACCAATCGAACCACCAAGAGGTACGATCCAAAAGCTCTTGGTCGGTTCCTCAACCGACCACCATTGTGACCATGTGTCGTCGCTCTATCTCATCTGAATTCACTTACGACCGACAATTGCAGACGAGTTCAACGCCAATCGACTCCCCTCATTGGAAAATAAGTCCGAAAGCCACATGTTTTCCTCAGAACCCCCACCACACACACATACACACTCTCTCTAACATTTTCTTCTTCCCACTATTTTCTTCATCACCTCCGACCATAGTTTTCGTCGGCCTCCACTACAGCTATCACCCGACATCGCAATCACCACCAACAGCTACGCCTCAACCATCGTTAGAATTTTGGGGTTAGAAAGCACTAGAATTCTGAGAATCGTGATGAACGCTTTCAAATTAAAGTATTTGGGTGGTACTACCCAATCTTCAATTGGATAAGACTCCGAAGTTTGAGAGACAAGAACTGAGAATGTTAGATGCTATGATTTTCGAGAGGCCGGTAGCAGTTCTGGAAAGGAAAGTGAAGGTTCTACGGAACAAGGAAGTACCTTTGGTAAAGGTACAATGGGAGCACCGGAGGGGATCCGAGTGGACTTGGGAGCCGGAGGCTGAGATGCGAGAGCATTATCCAGAGTTGTTCACCGCAGCAAACTTCGAGGACGAAGTCTAGTTCAAGTGGGGGAGAATTGTAACGCCCCGAATCTCATGTATTAATTTTATGGCTTTAATTTTCATAAATTGCAAGGTCTACTCGACGAGTTGGATGCCCTGACTCGTCGAGTAGGAGCGGGTTTGGCCACGTGTTAAGTGACCGACTCGCCGAGTCCAAGATAGGAATCCACGAGTAGGAGCTGGGGGATGAAACCCTAATTTCCGGGGTTTTGCACCCTATTTAAAGGATCATTAGCCTCCTTTAGCCCCTTACAGCCTCTTGAGAGTCCAGCAAACCCTAATCCGTGTGTGTGCTCCATTCTTGTGTATTTTAAGCTTTGGAAGGTGGATCTTAGTGAGAAATGCTTAGAGAAACAAGTGGCTAGAAGCAAGGAGCGTGTGGGGATCTGAAATCTACCTCAGTTAGCATCTTCTGAAGGTATCAAGTCGTTACCTTGACCTTATTTCCTTCTAGATCTCATTTGGCTAAAGATTAGGGCTTTTCTAACATATTAGGAAGCTATTCTTGGGTATGAGCTAAGACCTGAAGTTGCAACTTCAGATCTGAACTCTCTTTGGTCTCTAAGTCCATAAATCTTCCAGCTTTAGCAAGTATGAACCTCTCCTTAGGTGTAAAACTCCATTACAAGCTTGGTTTTGACATTATAAGTCTTTAGAGCCTTGCATGCACGTAGAGTTTGCAACTTTACGTGATAAACATGCATTGGGAAGCTGGATCTGCAATATGGAACCTTAAAATGGCTTAAAAAGCATCTGAATGGATAATTGACTGAAGGGACTCGGCGAGTTGCATGGCCAACTCGACGAGTCCGATGAAGATTGTCGTGCAAGCACTTCTGCATGGACTCGGCGAATCAGTGGGGTGACTCGGCGAGTCAAGTAGGGTTTTCCCAACATTTGGACATGCATGAACTCGCCGAGTTGCAGGGAAACTCGACGAGTCAACCAAGGATTTCACAACTTCTCGAGTTCAGGAAGGACTCGACGAGTCGGTGAACCACACTCGACGAGTCGGGTCAACATGGACTGTTGACCTTGACTGTTGACTTTGACTTTGACCAAGGGTTGATCAGTTTGACCTCTGGGTGTATTTTGGTAATTTGGAAAGTTATGGAAATGGTTTTATGGTAACTATAGGTGGTGGAGTTTGTGTCGGTGATTCGAGAGTTGAGCTTATCACTTCAGTGCGACATTTGTGAGGTGAGTTACATCACTATACTAAGGGGTCTAAGGCACCAAGGCCGACCTATTAGATATGATATCCTAGCAGTTGATAGTATGTTGAGTATGAGTTAGTGTTGCATGCTAGTTGTTATGCCAGTTAGGTAGATCTGTAGGTGATTATCTGTATGCGCATTAGTTGTATTATATGTTGACATATTATGTGGGATGGGTTGAGGTGATACTGCTCCGTGCGGTAACCAACAAGCCCGAGAGCATTCCAGATACGAGGTGAGGGAGACTCGTATTGTGGGCTCAGTGGCAATCCAGATGTGAGATGTGGGCCCGGAGGGCAATCCAGACTCACACTGTGGGTCCAGGGGTAATCCAGACTGTAAAGTTGTGGACCCAGTACATGTTGTTATTTGTATATGTGTTATGTGCAGTGTATCAGTATTTTGGGGGAACTCACTAAGCTTCGGGCTTACAGTTTCAGTTTATTGTTTCACGTACATCATGGGATCGCGACAAGGCAAAGGCGTGATCGTACAGCTCCTCATATTTATGTTTATGTTTCTGGGATACTCTGATATTATACATTTTGAAAACAAGTTTTGTAATGATTGAAGTTTTTGAAATGTTTTAAAGTTTAAATTTGGCACGATTTTTATGGGTGCTACACAACTTCTGTACCATCAGCAGACAAAGCTACAAACTCAGACTCCATGGTTGAGTTTTTAATACAAGTTTGTTTATTGGATGCCCAATAAATGACACATCCTCTAAGAAGAAACACCCAAAAACTAGTAGAGGAGTGATCCTCTAAGTTGTTAATCCAGCTGGCATCTGAATAACCTTCCAAAATAGAAGGATATCCACTATAAGTTAAACCATAATCCACAGTCCCTTTCAAATACTTGAATACTCTACTTACAGCTTGCCAATGAAGTGAACTAGGATTACTAGTATACCTACTAAGCCTTCCTACAACATATGCTATATCAGGCCTAGTGCTAATCATGGCATACATTAGACAACCAATAGCCCTTGAGTATTCAAGTTGAGACACCAGAGATCCTTTATTGGGTAGAAGATTAAGATTAGGATCTATAGGAGTGCTAACATGAGTACAATTCTCAAAGTTAAACTTTTTCAATATCTTCTCAATATAATGAGATTGAGAAATTGAAATCCCATTGTTTCCTTGTTTAATTCTTATACCAAGAATTACTTCAGCCTCCCCTATGTCTTTCATGTCAAAACTAGATGATAAGAATTTCTTGGTTTTATCAACTTCATCTTGATCAGTGCCAAAAATCAACATATCATCCACATATAGACAAATCATAACTCCTTTACCAAAGGTATCAAATTTTCTATATACACACTTGTCAGCTTGGTTTAAAGCAACACCATTAAAAAAGAAAACATCATCAAACTTTTGATGCCATTGTTTTGGTTCTTGTTTCAAACCATATAATTATTTTTTCAACTTGCAAACCTTGTGTTCATTTCCTGGAATCAAAACCCTTCAGGTTGTTACATGTAAATCTCCTCATCCAAGTCAACATTTAAGATTGCAATTTTCACATCCATTTGGTGAATCACAAGGTTATGTATAGTTGTAAGACATAAGAATAATCTAGTAGTGGAAATTCTAGCAACAGGAGCATAAGTTTCAAAGAAGTGAATGCCTTCCTTTCGCCTAACGCCTTGGATAACCAATATAGATTTATACTTATCTATTATGCCATCCACTTTCATTTTCCTTTTGAGGATCCATTTACATCCTGATGCCTTGCAACCAGGAGGTAAGTCAGATAATACCCAATTATTGTTATGCATGATAGAATCAATCTCATCCTGAATTGCTTCTTTCTATAAATGAACATCCCTAGAAACCATAGATTCATTAAAAGTCTTTGGATCCTCCTTAATATTAAAAAAATATTGATGTTAAGGAACAATATCATCCCTTGTTCCTTCAACTAAATAAAGTTGAAAATTAGATCCAAAAGATTTAGCTTTTCTAGCTCTAGTACTCTTCTCAAGTTCAGGTACGAAACTTGTACCACCAGAAACATCTTCAGCTTGAGTTTCGTTCTTACTGAAAGATTGTTGAATCATGTCCCTTGGTCTACGTATAGATGTAAATCTATCTCCATCAAAGATAGCATCTCTTGACTCTATAACAGTGTTCACACACAAAGAGTCATTAGATTCTAAAACATAGAATGTGTATGCTTTG